CAGCCTAGACTGGTTTAAGCTGTTTTTTTCAGTAGGGTGTCCTGGTCCTCCAGGTTGGGGTTGAGCTAACAACCCATAAAAACTAGACGCTGTGAAACACCAATATGGTGGCTTGCTAAATATCAACTTTGATATAAATGACCCTGGGAGTAAGTAAATAAGTATTTATTCATTCAATTTTTGCCTTTGTTAGTATAGGAGAGTATGTAGACAGAAATTAAGGTCGGTGGGGGATCGGTAAAGCTCCTCTAGCTAGTGATGGCTGCTTTCAAAGCACTGCTTCATGATGCTTTTAGGATTTTTTTAATGAATCTTTTATTTGAAATCCGTATTTCGAAGTGCATATTAAATTGGCAGGATCACGTGATTTTAGTAAACGGGGCCAAAGACTCTACGATTCACTTGTTAAGTATGACCTCACGAGAAGCGGCTTGTGGGTCCAGAACTGTATATCAAACTTTATGGGGAGATCAATAAATGCTAATAATAAACGTTGACAAAATGATGTAATACTTTGGAAAATAATATCCGATGACCAGAAAGTGATAATTTTTGTAATTAATTGTTAAAATATTAATGTCTGGAATGCAGCATGTCCAAGACTCATGCGTACACTATGATTTTATATAAAATTTACTTTAAAATGTGATATGACGAAAAAGTGGAATATTTTCTCAATTTAAATGAGTAGCGGCCAGGACCTGGAAACAGTTTTCCACACGTGGAAACACAAGACGTGTCACTCTTACAGTCTTAAACAGGAAAAGCATAACGGTCAATATGTCGAATGAAGCCCCGCCTTCTAGTACAGGAACCAATCATCAATCGCGATCAACTGACAGTTCCCTGGGGAAGGGGCTCGGATTAAACATGTCAGTCTGCAGATTTTGTGTGATTCGAACGTTTAGAAATGAAACTAAAAGGGTTATTGTTTAATTTTATTGGTGATTTGTAATATGAAATTTAATCGTTAACTCGGCAAGCAATTTTGGAGAATTTGATGTTTCCCCATTCAAACAGAATGCCTGAGCATACTGGCGTTTTAAAGATGGCAGTCGAGTGAAATCATTTGCCTCAAAAGGACTTTGACGGAGCTACATTACGTTACGTACATTACATTACTGTTTCAAAACGTATTGAAAATGTTATGGTTGAATTGTGTAATTCCAATAAAATCTACATGAATCACACAGCCGCACCTAGTGGCAAATCGCTGAACAGGTTTCATAGCTTTTACCTGATCTCAGATCAGTTTTACGCAGATATATGATGATATCAGATGATATGCTAAGAGCATTTATAGGATATAACAATACTTTCAATTTAAAGAGCATATTATTTTTTTGAATAAGTCCATTTTAATGCATATTTTGCCTTAACATTTGCATTGTTTTTACATGGATTTGACCACCTCCTTAACATGAACACTTCAAAACATTTTTCGAAGTAATTTGCTTAGTTGTTTTGAAGATTTGAAAAGCTTAATTTTTACAATTACTTTTGCAAGCTGGGACTCGAACTCGGGACCCCTATCGCACATTAGTGCTTGCTATATGTTAGTGCAGTGCCTAGAAGGCAATTGGCGCCAACAATCAATTTTATTTTAATTTATAACTATAATAATGTTTTGGCTGTTAATTCCGCTGTGGTGACCTTTAAAATTAAGACAACACTGAAGGAAATTGAATGAATGAATGTTTTTGTTGACCAAACGAACATTTAATATACCATGGTAATACTGCTGTAAAATATTGTTTAAAAATATCATAGTAATATTTAGGTACCATGTTCAGTATACCATAGGTAAAATAGTAAAAATACTACAGTATTGTCATGGTTTCGATTTCAAAATATCATGTTAAAGAGACTATGATAGAACCATGGTAAACATGCCCAAAATACCATAGTGCATTTAACAGTAGTATAGTGATACAGTGTTTAAAATGCCATTGCGATACCATGGTAAAAATGTTCAAAGCAGTATCATATTACTACACTCATTTAAAATGAGCTGAATCAACACAATCCTTGAGTTTTTTTTGTGAGGACGACTTCAATGTTTTATGTTCAATCCACTTAAATTTGTAAAAATTAAGCTAACTTAATCGATCGTGTTGGGACAACATAAAGTAAGCCTGAATTTTTGACAGTGTATGACGGAAAACATTTTGCAAGCTCTCTAAAGCACAAACAGTCCATTTTAATGTCTAGCACTATTAGCATTGCCATTTAATTGATGGCTTAAAAAGCTCATTAGCAATGCAACCCAATGTGAATGTCTTCCATTAAGACACACATCTCATTGATATCTGGTGGACCCTAGCTAGTCGACTAGTTGCTCTAAGGACTTTATCAACATGTAGTTTTGCACATCCCTATTCTCAACATAAAGTGATCAGCGGTTGCAAAACAGTTCTAGGTTTTCCACAGACAGTAACCGAGCCTTTAATCTGTCACCGCTCACAGTGTTTTTGCTGAGTTAGATTTGAACTGGATCACAGATGACAGCTGGATGCCCGATCTGACCCCATCTGAGAGCCAATCAGAACGAGTCTGTCTCTGTTGACTTTTTTTTTTTTGCACTGGCGCAGTCTGAACGCCTCTGCCCACCGCTGACTCTTATTTTAAGCTCTGATTCTTATCATGCTCGCTAAATATAACCACAGGATACACACCACCTCCATGATACTAGATGTTCTGCATTATTTAAAGATTGCCGTTTCCTCTCGGTTGCTCCGAGCTGATTTTCTTTGATCGGCTGGGATTCTGGGAAATGTTCAGATGCGATCGTGAACACACACAGGGAGAAAGAGAGAAGAGCCTTACAAAACAGTACCGTGGTGTTGTAGCATGGTGCAATGGTGGTGTTGAACAGTAATAATATGGAAATTTCATGATACCATAGTGTGTATATAAAGTCATTGCTCATGTTAAAAACACCATAGTAAAACCATGTTTAGATGGAATATAGATGGTGTAGCATGCACAAATTTTGAGCAAATACCATAGAAGAACCATAGCAATATGGTCAATATACTATAGTAGATACCAAAGTTGTATATTGTTTAAGATAGCATGGTCAAATTTCTGAACTACCACAGTGATATTATGGTATCATGTTCACAACATCATTGTTGCAACATTTCAAAAATGCCTAAATACCATAGTAATGTTGCAGTAAATGCTCATAATAGCAGTACAATAGTAGTAGTAATAGTAGTACAATGATAAAGTGTACAAAATACCATATTGGTACCATGATAAATTGTTCAGTGAAATTATTAAAAAAAATCTATAATAATGGTTGTATAAAAATAAAATTTCTAAAATACCATAGTATTATGGTCAAATTTAAAAAATACTATAGTAGTACCATGGCAAACCTTCCAAAATACCATAATAATGTTACAGTAAATGTTTAAATTAGCACAGTAATAAAGTGTCCAAAATACCATAGTGGTACCATGGTAAAATGTTACGCATACCATAGTATTATTATGGTAAATTGTCAAAAATACCACATTATGATTAAACTATAAAAACATCATAGTTGTGTGATGGTAAAATTTCCAAATTACCATAGTATTATGGACAAATTTACATACTATAGGTATATGTTCAAATAAACATGGTGGTACAATGATAAAGTGTTCAAAATACCATAGTGGTAACATGGTAAAATGTTAAGTATACCATTGTATTATTATGGTAAAATGTGAAAAAAATACCATAATTTGGTCAAATTATTAAAATTCCATACTAGCATCATGGTAAAATATATAAAATATCATCGTATTATGCTAAAATTTTAAAAATACCATAGTAGTACCATGGACAAATTTGCAAAATACCATAGTGATGTTACAGGTAAATGTTCAAATTAGCATAGTGGTACAATGATGAAGTGTCCAAAAGTGGTACCATGGTAAAATGTTCAGTTTAGCGTAGTATTATTATGGTACATTGTCAAAAATATCACTATAAGGTCAAAAAAAAAAAAAAATAAATCCTATTAGTATCAAGGTAAAATTTCCAGAATACTATAGTATTATGATCAAATTTAAATATCATTGTAGTAAAATGGCTAAATTTCCAAAATACCATAGTAATGTTACAGCAAAATGTTTGAATTACAATAATGATACAATGATTAAGTGTCTAAAATATCATAGTGGTAACATGGTAAAATGTTAAGTATACCATTGTATTATTATAGTAAATTGTCAAAAACCACATTATAGTCAAATTATAAAAATTCCACAGTAGTATCATGGTAACATTTCCAATATACCATAGTATTATGGTCAATTTTAAATAGTTCTAGTAGTACCATGGGAAAATTTCCAAAATCCTGTAGTAAATATTACAGTAAAGCATGGCGGTTCAATGATAAAGTTTCCAAAATACTATAGTAGTAGGATGGTAAAATGTTAAGTATGCCATAGCATTATTATGGTAAATTGTTAAAAATACCACAAAAATTCCATAGTATTATGGCCAAATTTCCAAAATACCAATGTATTACGGCCAAATTTAAGTATTACCATACTACTATCATGGTAAATTTTCCAAAATACCATAGCATTATGGTCTAATGTTTTTAAATACCACAGCAGTATTATAAAAAATTCCATATTAATTTTACAGTAAAAATAGCATAGTAGTACAATGATAAACTGTTCTAAATACTATAGCATTATCATGGTAAATTGTGCAAAATACCACAGTATTAAAAACATGTTAAAATGTCCTATACCATAATCAAATTTAATAGTAAAATGTCCAAACCTACCATGTTCAGTGCCACAGAATTACCACGGTACATTTTTGAAAGTGAAAGAGAGGAAGTACTGCGACAGTACTATGGTATTACCATAGTGCTTTGACATGTAATTTGCTACTAACTCCAAAACACTCTGGTATTACCATGTTTTCAAGGGTTAGCTGAAAAAGTGGTTTAAATTTTCACAGAAAGTGTAAATAAGTGTGAACAAAGCGCTGAAAGGCATTTTTAATCATATACTGATTAATTTATTAAATCTGTCAGGACGGTTCGTCCCAAACCGAGTCATGAAGTACATGAATTTGAAGAATGTCTCATATTTTTCCTTTTTTTTTTTTTTTTTGTAAAACAATGAAAAAGAAAAATCTAGCATCAATAGACAGACATTCAAACACCGCTTGCCAGAAACACACATGATTTCCTTTAGAGCGCAGACGCTTTTTCACATCTAAAGGAAACGTGCGGTGAGTACCACTTTAAATTGAGGTTGAGACCATTCGATTTGTTCAAATGTACCAAAATAAAACCTAAAACGTTTTAAAAAAAGTTAATGCAAGCAAATAAGTATATGTTCAAACATCTGTTCAATGCAAAGAATCGACTCAGAGTCAGACTGCGAGAGAACACAAGAACCAAAAATAAGAGTTCAAAAAATAAACATTAAAAAAATCGTCCTGTTGCAGAAACTCGAATCACAAGCGAAACGGTGAAACGTTACATGATAAATCCTCGATTTTCTTCTCGGTTGATAATAAAGACACAGGACTGGATGTGAAGGCTTGCATACACTTTGAATCAAGCGCTGTCCTGAGTTGCTCTGGTGGTTCGGGTTCAAAGGTCAAGATTTTAGGATCCCATTCAGACCTTAAAAACAAGGCAGAGTCCGAAGGAGATGACATGCTCATGTCTCGAATCTTTCGGTTTATAAAAAGAAAGGAACTCTCAGATCCGACCAAACAAGCGAGCGATATGGTTCAAGCAGTTCAACCATCGGAAGGGATTCGAAAAGAAGTGATTCTTCATTGCAGTGGCTTGGTCTTCCCTCTGTTTGATATGCTTCAGTTTAGGCTGAGGTTAACCACCAATCTTCAATCTCAAAGCAATATAGCACTGCCTTTCCATCAGACGAAAAATATGAAGCGGAGCTCGAAAATAAAACAAACGACTTAAACGACACCATCCGTAATTAAGGCTGTTAAAAAATATTGCAAAAATTTTGGCCCCTGTTTTTGAGACAGACTGCCACAACAGTCAAAAAAACGTAAGATAGGAGAAAACGAAACAATTAAAAGTGACGAAAGCGTCAAAAGAAAGTACGATCCTCTTTGGAGAGAGTCTTTTATTTGGTTTTGGGAGCATGTTTTTTTTTTTTTAAAGGGACATATTTTCGGTTCGCATAAAATAAATAGACCGGAGCCCAAAAAAACAACAAATTTTCTTTTGCTTTTTTTAATCTTTAGCGTGCACTCGTAAAAACCTAAAGGTATAGCAATCGGCAATTTCCACGTCGGACAGTGGCACTGAATGCACCCGCGAGCCTCCTGGACGTCCTGTTGTTTTTTTTGGGGGGGGTTGTTAGAGCATAAACGCACCCCTCGTCTCCTGGAGAGGGAAATCAAAGCAAAGGCTCTTGCTGTCCTGCAGGTTTTTTGGGGGGGTGTTTTCTCCACCAAATATCCTCCAGTGGTGGTCCGCTTCACACCCACTCCTGCATGGAGCGTCTGCAGTACAGTATGTGTCGGGGCGTCCCCTTCCGCTTGAACTGAAAGACGGTGTAGATGAGCACCAGCAGACACAACGCCAGCACGCAGGGGATGACGATGGCGACGGCTTTGACAGTGCTGGTTTCGTTGTCCAGTTTAATGACCTCGTTTTTGTCCTCGGTGGCGTGCAGGTCCGGGTCGATGGGCACGAGGTCGCAGCCCATGAAGTCTTTGAGGATGGAACGAGGGTAACCCGGCTCCACACGCAGCCTGTGGTTGTTGAACTTCCAGTACTCTTTGCCCTTGTAGAAGTATGTGAAACCTGTCGTGACACAGTAGAAACAGTAAAGTCAACAGAGTGTGGTAAGATGGCTTTGTTGAATATACAGATGAAGTCAGAATTCTGGATATTTTTTCTCTTTGCAATGATGACAGTACATAATATCTGACTAGATATTTTTCAAGATGATAGTATTCAGCTTAAAGTGAGATTTAAAAGCTTAACTAGGTTAATTAAGCAAGTCATTGTGTAACAGTGGTTTGTTTTGTAGATGATCAAAAAAAAGCATTGGTTAAGGGGTTAATTATGGCGCCATTATGGACTAAAAGATCCAGTCATGCACCACACACACACTCAACCGGTTCCTAATCCAGACTGATTGCATACACACAGCCGGAGAATTGTCAAAGACTGATTACCTGATATTTATACAGCGCACACAAACACATCAGTGCTGAGTCTTGTTAAACTTTCATTGTGAACATTTCTACGCATTTTCCTTGACTTGTCTTGCCTTCCATGTTTGAACCTCACCTTGTTTGTTTATCTGTCTAAATCAACACTAAAAGTTTTTAATATTGCCTGTATTGACCATTCGCGTGTTATTCGACTACGACTCTAGATTCCCTGTGTACAACGGTTTGCCCTTGATTGTGATCATTGCCTGTCTGATCTTTCTTTGTTTGTTAAACTTGCATTTGGATCCGCACTTTCCTTGTCAGCGTCTGCCTTGTGACAATTGAATAAAATCAAATAATAAGATAAAAAAAAATTCCCTCTAGCCAAAATAAAACAAATAAGACTTTCTCCAGAAAAAAACAATATTATAGAAAATACTGTGAAAAATTCCTTGCTCTGTTAAAAAATATTAGGGAAATATTTGAAAAGGAAAATTGACAGGAGGGTGAATAGGTTTGAGTTGTACATTTGTGGATGCTTGTTTTCTGAATATAAGCAAATCTCAAAGTTACATTTTTAATACTGTGATTTGTGATATTGTGCTGCCTAATTTCTACTGTAGCATTTAAATTGATATTTGTAAGATATGAACAAATTAAATAATGTTGGTATGTTTTTTATAGCTTTATTAATTATGTAGGCAACATGTATTAAATAAATTGTTTTATGCTTTTAAAATGTATGTAACATTAAAATATATATTGTAGCTTTTATTTTTGTCATTTTAAAATATGAAATGAAAATAGATTTTGATTTTGTGATGTTTGTAAAAATCTAAAAATATATATTTTAGCCTTTCATGTTTGTATTGAATATGCCAGTAAAAGTTTTAAAATTTGATTTTGAAATATTTTTTTAAAATCCGTTTTTTTTTATATTATTTTCAGTTATATATTTTATATATATATATATATATATATCTTTTTAATTTATTCAGTAATTTTTTTATATTTTTTATAATTACATTTTCATTTAGTTAATTTTTAAGATTTTTTAAAAATAAATTTGTATTATTGTATTTATTAATCAGGGGTCACCACAGTGGAATGAACCGCCAACTTATCAAGCATATGTTTTATGCAGTGAACGCCCTTCCAGCTGCAACCCAACACTGGAAAACACCCAAACACTCACATTCACACACATACACTACGGCCAATTTAGCTTTTCAATTCACCCAAAGCGCATGTCATGCAAACTCCACACAAAAATGCCAACTGACCCATCTGTGGTTCGAACCAGCGAACTTCCTGCGGTGGCTTGATCATGTTACCCCCTGCGCAACCGTGACGCCCTGTGCATCAACATTTGTTTCTAACTTTCATCTTTTGTGTCCAATAGAAAACAAAGAAACTCACTCAACTTAGAAGCAAACGCAAGGTGAGTAAATGATAACAAAAGCATTTATTATTTTCATCTCAGCCATGATATGCATGTGAATAATCCAACCTGAGCTTAAACAAACCTCCCTCTCCACTAAATTCATTAAACAAAAACCTCCAAATCCCAGAAATCAAAGTGTTACTAACCAAAAAGGAGCTCAGTGTGATCTGAAGGACGCTAAACCGAAAAGAAAGGCTTATCATGTTATCACAACATCCACACTTGCATTAAACCTAGCTTGGAGCATCCGAAAAAGCCATCTCCCCATGATCGGCGGGCCATGATGACACATAATGAGGGTCAATTTTCTCACCCACAGAGGTCTTCTGGGTGACGAGCTGAAAGAAAGCCCACAATCGCTCTCAAAGTGTGCTTCGCCAAACCCTTTCCCTGGAAGATCAATCCACCCTTCACGCTCAGATGAACGCCTGCGTCCACGGGCAAACCTGGCACTGAGGACGGGTACAGATGGCACGAAAACCTGCGAGCCTGAAGCTACGAACTGAACTCATGCAAGACGTTCCACCCCGGAGCCCCTGCCAGAGACTTTGCCCTCAAACTACACAAACTGTGCTCTCGTACAGAATGAAAAATAGGCCAATGTTAACCTCAACTGCTCTGAAGTCAGAAGTTCCCAGTCTTTTGTTCTCAATGCAAACAATGCAAATTAAAATTAGGGCGGGGCTTAATTTTGACATCAGGGATTGGATTTGATGGTGGTGGTTTGCTTGCATTGGTTGATCTCACATGATTGACATGATTGACATGTTAATTTAGGACTTGGCGATATTGCAAAAAATTATTTAAAAAAAATATAAAGAATATATAATCTTTCATATCATTCGGTATCAATAATTATAAAAAACAAATTTTACAAACCATTTAGGAATATCATGATTTTTTTATTTATTTAACCAATTTATTTTAATTAAACTTATCCAAATATAAAATTTTACAAAAATATCTCTATATAAAAATGTCTCTTCTGCTGATAATAAAAACATGTTAACGTAAACGTGTTAAAGTGACTCTTAAACTTGATAAATAAATGTTACAAAGTGTGCAGTGGTAAAGTGTATGTGCTGAACAATCATAGCAAATTTTAAGGTTGATCAACATCTGTAAAATGTCAATATTAATGATACAGTAAACCTCAAAGTCTGTAAACAAAACAAATCATGATCATCAAATCTGAACTTTCAAGTAATGAAACCATCCATCATTTTTGTAATACATATTGCAACGTTAAAAATCGTGAAGTTGAAAGACTACATTACCCCTTATGCTAAAAAATCTTTCAGATAGGCTGGGATGCACAAGAAAAGAAACCAAAAAGCCACTCTGGCGACATCCTTACATCCTTTTAATTTACAATCTCCTCACTGCTGGTAGTTGCAGCATTCATTTTTAAACACGTTTACTGTACATATATATATATATATATATATATATATATATATATATATATATATATATATATATATATATATATATATATATATATATATATATATATATATATATATATATATATATATATATATATATATATATATATATATATATATATATATATATATATATATATATATATATATATATATATATATATATATATATATATATATATATATATATATATATATATATATATATATATATATATATATATATATATATATATATATATATATATATATATATATATATATATATATATATATATATATATATATATATATATATATATATATATATATATATATATATATATATATATATATATATATATATATATATATATATATATATATATATATATATATATATATATATATATATATATATATATATATATATATATATATATATATATATATATATATATATATATATATATATATATATATATATATATATATATATATATATATATATATATATATATATATATATATATATATATATATATATATATATATATATAGTCAAATGCATATAGTCTTAATTATTAGTTAAATTTGCTCAGCAAACTCAACATTTTTTGTATTAGTTTTGCTTTGATGTGCAAATAAAATATTGCAAATAAAAGTGAAAATAATACAAAATATTATGAATATTATAGTAAACCATTGACAAAATAATTAATTTACTGTAATGTTCTTAATACACATCATACCCAATAAAGTATAATATGAATTATATGCTTTAATGCCTTTTTTTCAGCTGAACAGTATCTGTCCGACTAGAAGAAAAACTACATCTGCCAACAGCATGAGGGTGAGTACAAATATTTCTTACATCTTCATTTACATCACAATTTACATCATTTTCATGTTTAGCATTAGCGAACTGCCTAAAAATAGATGAAAAGATATAATAAACAGGACCCATACCGTTCGCTTTATCCACAAATGCTCCCTGTGGAGAATCTGGGACGCCTTTCCACACCGTGATGGACTTGGGATAACCGGGATCCATCGTTCTCATGTCCTCATTATATCTCCAATACCTGCGCACAGATTAATGGAGATGAACATCACACACACACACGCACACACACACACACGCACACATACATAAACAGACTGTTGAACACACACCTGTCTCCTTTGAAGAAGTAGGTCTTGGCCACGTCCTCCCACCAGACGGCCATCTCTATACTCTGCGCCGGCATGCCGTTCCCAAACATTGTGATGTCCTGCGGGTATCCGGGCAGGAGCATTGTGTCCTTGAACACCCAGAACTGCTTCCCTACAAGAAGCAGAAGAACAGAGGGGGAATCAGAGACTCTCACTGGGATCTGGCTCAGTTCGAGGATCTAAATGTCAATCAGAGGCTCAACAGACGGACTTTAACCCTTGTGTGCTGTTGGGGATGTTTTCATCCACTCTGGGCTGATTTTAAGTCTTCATTTGGCCACGGCTTTCTCTGTGTTTCAGCAAATGAAATGATTATTTGGTAACAAATCTTGTTTTGGCACTTATTTTGGGAAAATGCTTTGAATTTTACAATAATACACTCTTGGCAAGTTAACAAACACCCTTTCATTATGTTGAGGGCTGTTTTTGCCCCATTGACTTCTATTATAATTACATTTTTTGATTGCAAAGCCTTGACATCATATAATCATGCATTCTTGTGGTGGTCGAATGTATATTTATATTACCTATTGTTTTAATTATTGATATTATTCTTAAAGACAGATCAGAGCAAACTATTTCTCACTGTTTAGAGGGCTGACCCCAATACATGTTTTCTTGATTTCCTTCCTTCAGGGGGTGTCAAGCATTAATTAGGGTGGTCAATCTCCCTAAAACCCCCCTGAAATTTGCACCCTGGTGTCTGGATCAATTTGTTGTGAGAGATTAATTGGTTGGCCATTGCATTTTATTTTGTTTTTGGAAGTGTTTCAATTGTCTCTGCGGTTGTTGACTTTTAATGGCGTTATTTATTTAGTCTTCCACTAAAAATCTTCCAATGAAGAAAAAAAGTCACATACAGTACATGTTGGATGTCCTGAAGGAGAGCAAATGACCATCTGATTTAGATTTTTGTGTGAACTGTCGCTTTAAGATGTCAAGTCTGAGTAACAGTGGCAGTCGCGCGGTCAAAGGCCTGGTCGCGGTAATTAAAAGCAAACAGGAAGTGCTTGAGCTGTGAAATTTAATGTTTGGTTTTGCTGAAACGGACATTTATCTGGAAATGGTGTAAATATTATGGACTCTGTAGCAATATAACCTCAGTGTTCGATTATCAGCAGTTTTATTATGCGGATTGTGCTATGGTTGGCTCGCAAAGATTTTTCACACTAAGAATTACATTTATCATTTGAGCATAACTGCCGTGTAATTAAATAACTATATATCCGTCTGTTATGTTTATGTGTATTGTCCAAAAAAAACATTAAACTATTTGTTTGACAATGTAAGCTGATGAATAGCACTTTGCAGTACTGATATATCTTCTTTTATTAGTGTTTATTAGTGCTACAAAAATAATACAATGAAAATAGTAGTAATAGTGATAATAAATAAAACTATTCAGGGACACTTTTGTTTAAAATACGGTTTACATAATAATGTGCTGTTATTGTCACAATAGCAATATATATATATATATATATATATATATATATATATATATATATATATATATATATATATATATATATATATATATATATATATATATATATATATATATATATATATATATATATATATATATATATATATATATATATATATATATATATATATATATATATATATATATATATATATATATATATATATATATATATATATATATATATATATATATATATATATATATATATATATATATATATATATATATATATATATATATATATATATATATATATATATATATATATATATATATATA